CGGAAAAGCAGAAGACTAATGTCAAGTTAGTGGTTATATTTTCTGTAATCTGTCTGAACGACACATTGATTTCTATGTAATTTTGAAAAACAAATGGCAGATTTCCTACCGTCAATATAATAGGATATACACAGAAACCTGGTTTTGTGAGCCGTAATACCAACATCATTACCTATGGATCATTTAGCGACCAAGAGCCTGGCGCGTTTGACGAACTCTTAGTACACTATGAATTCCAACAGGCAATTTTGACTGTTAAAGGTTTAAGGCGTGATTTAGAAATTAGTCATTGGGGCGGAAATTTGGCAGTTGAGGAACATTTTAATCTGACACACGATGGAGCAAAGTAAGTTTCTTTCGATTTAGCTGTGTGAATTCATAAAAATTTAACCCTTAAACGAACACAATTTATAACTTAAAGATTGAAGGGTTATTTCTCACGATTGGAATACCAACAAACACAATTTATCCACCATGAAACTACTATGGCCCGTGATTTTTTAGTAAATTTACCAGCTCACGCATCGGATGTATATTATAGAGATGAGATTGGCAATGTATCAACTTCACGATTGAGAAATGAACGAGACACAACGGTCTTAGAATTTAGACCGAGATACCCACTTTTTGGTGGTTGGAATTATACATGGTATTATGGATATAATGTTCCTCTTGGTGACTTTTTAAGGCACCATAAGAGTGGTAGATATATTTTGAATATACCCTTTGTTAATCCATTACATAACGCGGCTTTCGATCATGTACAAGTTAGGATAATTCTACCCGAAGGAGCAAGGTAAAACAATCAATTTTGTCTTAATAAAAAAATTTCTCCTCAAGTTTTTAACATTTTGTTCATTTATTATAGTAATGTTAAAGTGGAGACGCCATTTCCTATCAGTAGAGAAACTCATGGAGTGCATAAAACATATTTTGACAGTAAAGGACGGTACCTTATTGTTTTAGATAAATTTAATGTTGTCGAGGAACATTCGAAAAATTTTCAGGTTTCTTATGAATACGATTCGCTAGAATTGCTCAGGAAACCACTGGTAGCCACTACTTTCTTTTTATGCGGATTTTTGTTAAACATGGTGTTTTCAAGAATGGAATTTAGTATTGGAAAAAAAGAGTAATAAAATATGATGTAAAAATTTCGTTCTGCAAAGTAATCGTCCTCTTAACTCCGTATTTATTGTAGCAGATTAAAATGAATTTTGCCTATTTAATTAGAAATTATGCGTCATGGCAAATTTTCTAAGGATATCTTTTTTAGGCATCCTCAAACAAATAACTTTTGATCAAATGGATGATTTTATTTCCAAAATAACCGTCTTAATAAAAGTTCGATCAGAGTCATGAGATTGTTAAAGATCTGTATTTTATTTGGTGTTTTTGATAGGTAAAAGACGCCTCTAGCTTTTTCACGAAAAATTGTTTGTATAAAATCTAAATTACAAAATATGCGCACAATGTGCACAAGTTAAAATTTTATAAAACTTTAAAAAAATATGTGCATTTGAGCACATCTATTTACTAGGTTATTTACCCCCTGCCCGATTTGGGGGTCCCTTAAAGCGGGGCAGATTACGTATAATTAACCAATCGGATCGTCAAAATTAAAAAGAGAAAAAAGCGAAAAACACCAAAAATGGTATTAATAAAAAATGTCAGGAACAGGGATGGCACGTCACAATGTCCAATTGGTTTCAATTTGTTTTGGACATATGTCCAATTGGAATTGGACATTGTGACATGCCATCCCTGGTCGGGAAGGTCATTTTGCTTATAAAATCACCTTTGACCTCAACCCTAAGTGACCCTAACCCTAACGTTAATGAAAAAACAGCATAACACGTGATCTGCCCGCTTTAAGGAACTACCCCAGCCGCAAAAAAGTTTCATTTTTGATAGATCTGCGGTTACGATAGATCTACAATGTACCCCAAATCGGGGTTACGTTCTTGATGCATTTTAAGTATGCATTAGAAATGTGCAATTTTATTGGTTAATTAATTGATCAGCAGTAACGATTTTATAATGATAAATATTAAATATATTGTACATATTTATTTGTGCGCTTAAACCTCTAATAGCAATATTTATTTTATTCGAACTTTCTATTCTTGTTTATTATAAATTTAAAATTTATACATACAATAGTATATACTGTTAAAATGTATTGTGTATATATAAAATCAAGTGACGATATATTATAAAATTTAGTTCAACAATTAATTGACAAGCATTTTATTAAAATTAGTTTTAAGCATATTATATTATGTATTGTAAATTAAAGCAGTATTGTTTTATGTCGTTATAACTATATACTCAACGTTTAAGAATATTTAAAACATGTTGGCATGCATTATTAAATTTTTCTGCAAATTCTTGAGACTTAAGCTGGTCAGTTCCAACTATCATATGATTTTCAAGATTGGGTATAATAGCTTGTTGCAATATTTCAGCTGGTTGAATAATAGTTTCAAAAGTCTCAGCTGATGTTTTTGATTTTTTAAAGCATGGTTGAATATTTTCTTTTTGCTTTTCCTAAAAAAAAAAGTAAACTTTTTAGTATGAATTTAAAACAAGTGGTGATATCTCAAATTTAATATTAGAGTAATTACCTTGATTTCACGCTTAGCCTTTCTGATATTTATCATTTTTCTTTTCTGTTCTGAAGAAGAAATCTCATCATTTATATTGTCAGGAACTATATGTAATATGCGGCAAGGCAGTGTTGTACATTTGGACTGTCCCAAGCTTTTTTTGCTGTGTCCCAACGTCCCAACGTCCCAATGTCCCAAAG